ATTTTGATCTGATGCACCGAGGTGGTAAATACTGTTCGATATGATTGTGTTCAGCTTTAGACCATTTTTCCGTTGTAGTATATACCAGGGGGCCAAATCATAAAGCAGGATCCTACAAAGCTAGAAATTTGCATGTAGGATTTAACTTTATTTTTTACTTCGGCTGGCAGGGAAGAATCTAACCACAACAAGCCCTGGGCAAGCGGATCGGGCCAGGTGAGATCGCATTTCCGCACTATTCGGGGGAATTGTTTGGACGATAATTCAAACAAACCCTCCTCATCAGAGGGGACGAAAAAGTCAAGGCCTCAAAAGGGATTGGTAACGGGCCAGGCTAGCACGGGTCCAACGCAGGGCCTTATTCAAAGACCTGATGGTGGGCTAGCTCCTATTTACAAGAACAGGACTGGCGCAGATGGACGATGGCCATGAAGAGCCAGCTCGAGGGTATGGCTGGGTATTTGACTCAAGGGGCAATGCGACATCAAAGACCAAGCGTCTCAGATCAGAGGGAAGCCTTCCAAGGTCTGGTTCAAGGCAGCATGAAAAGAAGCCTAGAGGTTCTGGAGCACCCAAAGGTTGCGGATGCACTACGAACCTATGGCCAAGTCGCTGCGGCGGGGCTCAGGGTGGCCATTGCTTCGGTATCGCACCCGGACATGGACAGCATTGCGCCTCAGTCGAGGTGCATTATAGCTGCATTGAATGCATTTGTGGACTAGATGGAGCGATGGAGGGTGGAGGAGGGGGAGGGCTTTCCTCGATTGGCAGGGTTTTGCGAGGACCAGTGAACCTTGGACTGCTTGGAAAGGATCGTCCCTCTTATTAGGCTCTGGGATGACAAGTCTCTGAAAGTTAATAGGCACGTCCCTATGGTAATCATGGCTGTGTCATACGGGCTCCCGGCCACCATCTTAAAGCGCCTCCAGAGGTAACATCTTGAGCCTGGTGTTGGTGAGGCATTCTATCGGGCACTCCAGCGGCAGAACTTTCAAGCATACGCAGAGGTCTCGGACGTTACATTTGTGACGAAAGGGAGTGCTCCGGCTGTGTTAAGTAAGGGCAGGGGTCCACCGAAGCAGCGGGATCCAATTCAGTTGCGACAGAGGGGGCGCAGCCCCTCGTTTTTAACCTCGAAGGGGGTCGAGAAAAATGTCGACGAGAATTTGGCTTGTGTGGTAGTTATTGGATCCGACCAGGGTTCGGGAGCGTCGGCATCACTAGAGAAGCACTACCTGTTTTATAGGACGCCAACTTGCTGTAAAGCAGACAAGCATATACCTCATACAAGAACATTGGGTTTACAGGGAACGCGAAGAGGTCCGGACCAGGTGGAGGGTTTTCTAGTTACTGAGTTCTGTTAAAGGGATCTCGTAGCTCAAAGACCTCAACTGAAAGATGGCATAGGACACAGCAGACACTTGGGGGGTCGGCATCTCCCGTACGATTCGGAGGGGGCTACACCTGCCAGGTATCTGGCTGAGTTGATAGAGTACTGTCGAAATAGTTGGATCCCTCTTGTGGTTGGCTGTGATGCGAACGCAGACTATGTTGAGTGGGGTAGCACGGACACGAACTCGAGGGACGACCACCTTCTAGAGTACTTGCAGACAACCGATTGGATGTTTTAAACTAGGGAGCAGCCCATACCACTGCGGGCCCTGCAGGTTTCGGAACCTCCGATTCACGGACAGGGACTGCTATTTGGCGAAATTGCTAGAGCGGTTGAACCTTTGTTCTGTCGGAAAGCAGGGCAGATGAAAGAGGTGACCCAATTAGTAAGCCACGCTATAACAACGTCATATATGAGGACAGCTGTAAAACTGCGGACCTTTGGAGGAACGAAGAGAATAGCTTGATGGAACCTAGACCTTGATCGTAAGGAGGTTCGTAGGTTCTTTAATAGGGCCATGCGAAGTAATCTTCCTGCGGATTGGGAAGATCTCAACATCTCTCAGCGCAGGTATAAGGATGATATTCGAAGGTCTAAACGAGGACCACGGAGGATCTTCTGTGGTAACATACAGGGCATTCCTGAAGTTCAAAAGCTTCCTAAGATGCTTTTGAAAGACCCGGGGCAAAAAGTAGGGACACTGAGGCTTCTATGTGGCATACATACGTCTATCGTGAGTGTGAGGCTCTGGGGGCTACGTAACTTTGGGCCCACCAAACGGAGCTACCCGGCCTCCCTTCGTTTCTTCTAAAAACGGCAAAGAAACTGATGGATGCAAACTGGGGTACTGGTCCTTAGACCACTACATCCATTCTAACATTCTTACAGGGCTGATATGTCCACGGAGACGGCTCTTCCCAGCCTTGTGTTCAGGTTGGAGAGGGGGATATCTGTCGGGAGGTAACCCTGGAAGCGTTTCTAGATATATGCGTTTAAAAACACCACGTTCGATTCAATTAGTGAGACCCCTGAAGGCTTTGTCATTGATGGGTCAATTGTAAGATGCATCTGCGTCATGCTCGTAAACAAGCCATTATATCCTCAATCGGGATGGCAGAGATCGTTTACAAGAGGATGTCCGCATGATGGAGTGTTGTCTCCACTGCTGTGGTACCTGGTGCTAGACGGACTTCTCCGCAATCCGACCGAGGACGGAGCGTATTTACAGGAATACGGGAAGGATCTAGCGATCATCATAACTGGACATTTTCCAAACACCGTGAAAGAGATTACGCAAAGGGGTCTTGAACAGGTGGATCTGTGGTGCAGTAGCCATGGCCTCTCCGTTACCCGGAAAAGACCGAGGCTGTTCCATTTACGAATAGACGGTGAGCGGACCTTGATAGGCTCAGGCTTCGAGGACGTCAACTAGGTCTAAGCAGATCAGTGATATATTTGGGAGTCATCATAGACTCCCGCCTGACCTGAAAAGGGTATATTCAGCGAATAATCAAAATGCATGTCTATGGGCATGAAGAAGCAACTTAGGCTAAAAAGGGCCCTATCCTTTATTGAGAAGAACAGAGTCTGCACTTAGTTGCAAATGAAAGGGGGTAGGCACCTGGATCTTTGGTGTGCCTAAGTACTGTCTGGTCGGACTTGCTTTTATTAACAGAATAGAAAATCAACTATTTTTGTAGAGCGTAAGGAAAGTTGGTGCTACTATAATATTTAAAATTATTAGTTGAGTTTTATTTAACAAAACTATCAAGAAACAAGGGCGTGCTTCAGGAGCAGCTCACTCTTGTATTTCAGTAAATTTTGGAAAGCTAACTTTATATATTATGCACCACGATGACAGTCGTTTGTACTGTTCCTTGGTCTGTGAACTAACTTTCAACTATTTCCAACTGTTACCATCTTTTACCCACTTGCGTGGTGACATATGATATAAAGAGCTAGTTTTCAATTGGGCCACAAACTAGTGGTACAAAGGTCTCTCTCTCTCTCTCTCTCTCTCTCTCTGGTGTAAACGAGTGTAGAGTATACTTTGGTTATTCTTATCAAAAACACGAAAGGAATACGTAGTCTATATATACGAGTATATCGCTCAGGGTCAAGCATTCTAAATAGCGGGGTGTGAGTGAACGTCCGGTATTATAAAATTGATAATATTTTAGCTGAAATGGGCTTATTGAATAACCTTCTTTTCTTAAATACGTCTGTACTCATCAAATTTCACTTCTGACCATTTTTGTGCTCCGACCAAAGAATTATACCAAAGAGGTTATGGTTACTCTTTGATTATACTCGTAGTTGAATACTAAATTTCGTCGAGATCGGTGTCAACTGGTTTAGGAGTAGGAATTTTGGAAACACTTTTGCGAAAGCGAAGATCCATTTTGAACCTTCGAAAAAATGTTTGCGTTGGTCTCTCTGCTACTCGACATCCTTAATTGTTGCACTTTTTATAATCGACTTAGCTCATTATTGAACAAATACAGTGCCAATGAGTCTTATGAAGAACAAAATTTGCATTTATTTCAATTCAAACTTATGAGGGAAGATATTATGACCAAATCTTTTGGATTTGTCAGACAATTGAAAACATATTACATTTAAAAAGAATCACAGACATTGTCTTCATTATTAATGACAGGAAGTGATTATAACTTGTGCAAACATCAATTACTGAAACTGGACAAATCAAACGACCGAGTGTCCGAATCCTAAAGTCCTCGATAATATGTGATGTGACCTGATACAGCTTTCTCACAAATTCAGTATAATCACTATAAGGTAGGTACTTAGTTAAAGATGAAATCGGAGAGATCGCTTGTGAGAAATAATTGACGAAACGTTTCCAGAACTAATTTCGTGTTGTAACGTACGTAGGTGTCATATATTTTACGTAATTAGTAGTTTGGAAGGTGAGCACGTCATTATGGTCTCATTAAACTTATTGGCACTAACCAACTTCAAACGCGTTTCACGTTACCCATTTTATTTCCGTATGTTCAAATTCTAACTACTTGTGCATTAGTAACAACTACGGTCATTGATGGGTAAGTTTGCCCCATTTAAAAATTTTTGGACTCGTTGTTTTGTAAAGGAGGTAAAATTGCGTGTTCGTTATACGTCAATTAACGCTGAACAACTGTTTTCTCTGGTGCTATACTGTACTAGAATACTAAACGGGCTCGTGGTACCACAAATCCAATTGAACCGACGCGACGAACGAATATATTTTACGACGGTTAATTCAAAAGCCCACATTAAAGTTTAAATTGTTACAATAACAGTTTCTGTGCCAAATGATTGTGCTTTGACGCTGGGATTAATCATGTTAAAGTGTTGATAAATAACAAAGTTAACCCACCCAATAAACTTGATTTAGGTTTCCTAGTATCTTCCAATAGAAATGAGTTAATAGTTTCAGCTTCAGCTTCTTCTACTCAAAATAATTACTGAAATTTACTGTACACTGATACAATTCGAGACTGCTTTCTTAGAATTCAACAATGAGATTAGTGTGAGATAAGTACCAACTCAGCGCCTGTTTTTGATGATTTTATGCTAGCTCAATTACAAATAGAGTATACCTTACCTTTCCGAGTCCTGGTAGGATTCTCACTTGCTTTGAAGGTGAATACTGCATGTCGTCCGTTTCCAAAACAGGAAATGAAAAGGAAAATAAGTAAATAAACGGGTAGAGTTAGTATAAGTACTTGTAAATTTAAGCGCCTTTTCAACGAGACTAATTTTTACAATTACAATACTCACTTTTGTGTTTGTTTTCAATCGATGTGTGCCATATACGGTTTAGCACTTGTTAGTAGACAGGTTGGAAAATTAGGGAAGTCTTGTAAAACATTCTGGTGTTAAAATTATATTCAAATGGTTAAATCTTAATACACATATAAAATAACAGATTTGATTAAAAAAAATTTATAATACTTGAGTAATACCTAAGCCAATATAAGCGTTTACCAAAACTTTGCAACTCAAGGACGAAACAGTGTAGTACTACATTTTGTTTAACTGAAAGTACAATCAATTTCGTCTATGTCTAAGACTTTAGACGCGGTAGGAGTAGTGACGATAGCTGGTACCACCAGGAAGTCTACCAGATGTTGTTGAGCTATAACTGGAGTGGTAACCTCCAGGACCATCACCACGGCTACGGGATGAACTTTCCGTTGAATAGGAATATCCACCTGGACCGCCACTGGATGTACGAGTTACACGCTCATTGGTACTGTACGAACGGGCAGAGGGACGAGAATAACCGTCACCGCTACTGCGGTCTGTACTAGAGTTGTACGAATAAGAATATTGCTGTTCGGCCGTACGGCGATCAGGAGTATCATTTACCACGTAATAACGTGGAGTCTGTGAAAAAAAAACTTCGATAATTTTGAAAAAGAAAATTCTTCATCGCCAGGAAACAGAGCAGTTTTGCATGAAAATTTTGAAGAAGTAATAGTGTTTGTATATCTTTGTACGAAACTGATTTCAACTCGCGTAATCTAGTTATTTCGTCCCTGCGTTGTTAATTAATAATAACAATCCTTACAAAACAACGCTTTTTTAGAAACTTTACCACAAATAATGTCGACCCTTCGTAACGAATTTTAGTTTAAACAAGCGGTCCATCCATCGGTTGTAGTTGGAAAACCACTCGTATGGTTTACCTCCAATGCTCGGATACCTTGTGAAGGACGAGTACGAATAACCGTAGAGATGTTCGGCGACGCAAATTTTTGGTTTCGATATTAGAGTGTGATAAAAGGGGACCTGAGAGAAGTAAATTCGTTTACTATTCCAATTGTAAATCCTTTCGTCGACTTTTCCAAAAAAATTTATAACGAAAGGTTGGCTGCATTTGATTCAAAGGGTACCTACTTGTAGTAAGACTGTAGTAGGATCGAGGATATAGGTGTGTTAAATGTTTCATGTTGAAAGAAAATTTTCATGCACATCGACATCAACAAACACAACGAGTAATCTGTTTCCTTAACGGTGAAGGTGAAATATCTTAAATGTATTTAATTGTCATTTTATTGTTTATATAAATACAGAATACAAGCGCGTATTAAAGTGCAATGCGAAAACGAAGTAAAGCACCCCTAAATCTTGTCACATAAAAAACAGTTAGATTACTAAAAATAAACGCGAGGTAAAGATTGTCAAAGGAAGGTGATGCGTTTCTAAATGTTAATAATAAGAAGAAGCTAATGCAATCTTTCGTTTGTACGGTAAATCGGGGCATTCGGCAATTTTGTGCAATTTAGGCAAAACTACATCCATAGCATCTCCCCTCGGTAATTCCCTAGGCAATAAATCCTCTTTTCGAAGCGCGGCAAAGACTCGCTCCCTGGTTTCTTCCCTTGGATCGATGTAATGTTTTCGTTGCGGTAATATTAATTTAGGTCTAATTCGTGCTTTGTCCAAAGGTTTTATAACAATCACGTCCCTTTTCTTTTTTTCCAGTTCCTCCACAGCGGCAGGTCGCCTACCAAAAGCGGTTACCGGATCTGGTATCAGACTGGGACGAGGGACGCTTGGTACCTTTTCCCATGGTATTTCACGTTTCTGGAAGAATCCAATGATTAACGCGTCTCGTCCCAGCCCAACTGGCCGCTATTAATGGATTGTGTTAACTGGAAATAAAGCAGGACTTTGTGCCGGATGCAGTGTATTTCTGTTAAGATGCGGATTTCTAGAGGCACAAATTTGTGTTAGTGTCCAGTAAAAAGTGGATGGATTGAAAGTAACGTTGGAAGCCAAATGCTTAATTGCAAATTACTTAAATTATTCTTGCCAAGACGGTGTCTAGACTTGCACCTTTAATTAACGACTGCATTAGCAGTATTTTATTCACGTTCCTTCATGAACCCTACCTAAAATAATACACTTAAATATAGAAAATATTTTAAGTTATGGAACAAAACAACAGCCCACAACTGTGCCAGTTTAGTAATGTACGTAACGTGCGTATCTATTTCCTGTCTAAATTTGGAGCGTCAAATCTCGATGAATTTTGCACGCATTACACATTCGCCTCCAAATTTCTCCACATTTCTGTTATTTCGTACGCTTAAAATAACTTTGGATGTAGTTTTGCGCATGGCAACGTTTATTCTCAATGCGTCCCTTAAGAAATCTAATGCTGAATTCTGTGCTACGGACGCTACGGTTAGTAACTAAAGAACCTCGGGTTTTCTAAATAAGCACAACCAAAGCCGAAAAGCGATGATAACACTATAAAGCGACTTAATCACTAAAATGCACTTACCGACACAGTATATGTCGACAAAGATGGGGATGTTCTATACCTTCGGGTGGTATAAAAATCGGATTCGTACACCATTTTCGTTCGTCGATTTTTGGCTCAGCGGCGATGAGAAAGAATATTTTCTATGGGTCGAAGTCTCGAGATGTTGTGAACAAGACTGCTTGCCTTTTGGAGATGCCTAGATTTTAAACGTAATAAAGTTTGCAACGCCCAATTTCTATTTTTAAGATATGATTTCGCGCGGTTTTATTTTTCTTCATACCTTCGCATTTTATTCACAGCAAACGAGATCGAAGTGACTATCGTAACAAAAAAATTTGTTTGCAAGTCTGATGAATATGGATGTATTTTTAAACTTTCCTTTTAGTGATGATGTATAAATGTTATGATTCGTACAGGTAGCAATGGAATGGCAAGGTTTCAAAATTGTTTTTGTTGTATGATGAACAAAATTTATAGATTTTGGCTTCAATATGAATAGCATAAAAATTACATTTTCGCAAAATTTTCTTGCATCAGATTTGACAATTTGCCATACACGTATTTTCAAAACAAAGTTTTTAATAATTTTAATTTTAGTATGCCATCAACAGAGCGATTACATAACAATACATGCTGAAAATGCTTCCAAATATGATTCGAATATTTGGTAATAGATGTGCTTGCCCTTGATTCACACAAATAAAGGGAGCTAAGTCACTGTATTCCCCTCTCCCAGGATTTCAATCAACATTAACAAAATAAAACAAATTTAGTTCAAATTAAAGCATAGCAATAGCACCTACAAAATTAAAAATTATCAAAGTCCTCGTGTGAGATCGAAGGGCATTTTTGTGTGGCAGATCAGTGTTTTAATAGCCATTGTTGACTCCACCATCAAAAAAAGATCTTGTCGAAGGCTACCACATTCACTTTGTGCAATTCGCATTTAAAGTTTTGTATTGACTCCACCAACAGTAAAATCTTGTCGGGGGCTACCACATTCCCTTTGTCGGTATCCACTTCCGATGTCCCGTTCTCTTCCAATGCACGTTTGAATATTTGACTCCACTATCAATAAGATCGTGTCGCGGGCTACCACATTCCCTTTGTTGGTACTCACTACCGACGCCTCGTTTACCCCAAATTCGCGTTTGAAGTTTTCACTAAACCATCAGTTAGATCTTGTCGGAGGCTACCACATTTCCTTTTTCGGTGCATACTTATATTACACCCACATTTTGGTGGATCGCCAACCTCACATCATATAGCCCTGTCCCTAAGGTTGCCAAATTACACGGCCTTGTAGATACACGTACACCCGTTGCCTTTCTACAAGAGTTCTTCTACGCGCCCACATTTGCTGCCAGCCAGCCAGCCAAAGTGAGATTAAAAGCTACTTTTTACAAATAAATTTGCAAAAATGCGCTAAAAAGTCAGACAACTGAATACTTTCATTTCATGGAAGCACGCGTGTAGCCTCATGCCGACTCTAAATACTTTCTACCCTCCCTAGTTTCTACCGTACGTACGAAAATTCGATTTACAAAAAAAAAGTGGTAGTGGGCTATGCAAATAATAGACATGAAAATACATGTGCATCTACCATTATTGTTTTCATGGTTTATTACAGTTCGAAAAATGAAAGGAAAGAGGGTCATAATTTGTACAGGGTGGCCACCTATGCGCGGTAAAGTTAGTATATTATATACCGCGGGACTGAAGTAGTATGTTATAGTTGCGTTGGTACACCAACCCTATGCTATGGTAACATAAATAATTTGAAAACTTTCAGGGATTTTCGTCCAAATTTAATCCCGGAGGGGCAAAAAGGGATACTTCAGTCCTTGTCATAATAGAGTGAAGTTGTCACTTTCCGAAATGCCCGCTAGGAGGCGTAACTCAAATCTGGAATCTAAAAAGTGCTGTTTCTGTGAATTCCACTACCTGTATTAACCTAACAAAGGGGGGGGGGGGATTCAAAGGTTTCCGTAAAGAACACTCTGTATCTTGGAAACGGCTGAGCCGATTTTAACAAACTTAGGCTAGTTGAAAAGTGCTGTTCTTCGGTTACAAATATTATAAAATTTGAAGATTTGTTAGTTTCACATATCGCCGCGTGAGGGCCTAATCTATATTCCGACAGAAATCGTTAATTTAAAAAAAAAATTCTCAAGTTAAATGCATTTTTCATGAAAAAGTAGCTAAATAATGCCAAAACAACCTCGCGAAAACCGCATCCCGATATGTTGTTCCAAACCTAAAATTTAGACCAAAGAAAATGTTATACCCTTCAATTTTAATTTTTTAAGCTAATTTTTACGGAATTCTTTTTATTATATAACCTGTGGCCCTAAAATAGATAAATTTGAAAATTGAAGGGCCGCCGTAAATGCTCGAAATGCTGACCATCACGCTCTATGCATTCTTGAAGTCGCTCATGGGTACACAAAACTGCAGCTTCAATTTCGGCTCTCGGTATGTTACGTATTGCATTACGAATCCGGTTTTTCATTTGTCTCCTCTGGTCGTAGGTTCAATCTGAAAGACGATCTCCTTTAACCTTTAAATAAAAATCAAGTTAAGTCTGGTGATCGCGGAGGCCATGGAAACAGATTTCCTTTTCCAATCCACCGCTGTTGAAATACCTACTGCATTAATATGCTCTCGCACAGTAATAGCAAAATGTGCGGGGCAACCATCCAACTACAAAAACAAGTTGTGCCGTGTTTCTAGTGACACATCTTCCAACAACAACAGTAACTGATTGGCCAAAAAGTAAAGAAATACATTGCCATTTAGGGATTGGTCGAAAAAATATGGCCCAATAGTTTGTACCTCTCAGTATGCCACAACCACACATTTAAACGCCAACGCCCTTGGTGCTTAACTTCACGCAAACAATGCGGATTTTCTGCAGACCAATAATCATATTGTGCAGATTTACTCTCCCGTCACTATTAAAGGTGACTTCATCGGTCCAAAGAATTTGAAATAAAAATTCTCTATTATCATGCCTAACATCCAATGGCAATAGTCCAACTTCCGATCAAAGTCTTCTTCTTTCAAGGCCTGATGCAAAAACCACATGATATGGATGCATTCCAAAAGTAATTTTAAAAAAGTTAAATTTAAATGAATCTATGTATTTTGATGGCCATTAGAACTTACCTATGGCCTTCAAAATATTTTGAACCGTTGTTCGTGATATGTCCAACTCAAGGGATAATTCAGTTGTGCTAACATGAGGATTTCCTTCAACATATCACAGTACGCAGTTAATATTTTCTTGCGTTCTTCTAATTCTTTACCGTTGAAACGTAGGTCGAAAACTACCATGGGATCGTAAGCTCACCACCAATCGCGTACACCCTTTTTGCTAGTCGGCATTCTGAAGACATTAAAAATAAATTTCAAGCATATCAACAACTTCGTCGTTCGTAAAGTGCATTTTGTAAGCACAAAAATTGCTCAATAGTTAATTGTACAACTAGTTTTGAAAGTGATACTTTTTTTTCATGAATTTGCAGTTTGATTAATGAGGATTAGCGTTCTTCTAGGCTACGTAGTTATTACCTACTACTTAAATTCTTAATGTCTTAATCCAAAACAAAAAATTGCAAAATAAATTAAAGCGGCGATATCAAAATTCTCGCTTGTTAGTGCTTTTTTTCCAACGAATCTCCATATGATTCTGAAGCATTTCACAACTTGCTGACTCCAAAATTATCCACGGTGACTTTGTTGTATTTGTATCACAGATTCTTTACGTGTATCTGTGGTTGTATGAACTGTAACTTCATGTAGCTATTATAAAGACTGAATTTGAGATCCACTTGAGCCATTGGTCTATCCATAAACCCAAAACCTATTACATTTACAACGAAAATTCAAGAAAAATTATTTATTTCTCTCCGGGTGTGTGTGTGTATCGTTGAACAATGTCGTTGCCATTCGGATGTTCATGAACAAACCCTTCATCTTTTTGCAAAAAATGTTCCCCCCTTATACCATTTATAATAAATTAATTAGTTAATATTAAGATTAATCTTGTAATTTCCCAAAACTTGATACATAGGTACAATAATTAGGGAAAACAGAAAGTAGGATTTCAGACTACGGCGTGTATAGATGGACTAACTCTTTTTATAAAATATTTATGCTCGAAAAAATGACGATGGGTAATAAAATTTCTGAAATAAAATGTAATGTAGATAGGAGTAACCTCAGGCCGTTTGAAGAGTGGAGATGGTGATATTCTGTCTTTAATTTAATAAAGTGAGTTAGGAACAGATATTTCAAGTAAAGGTATGCTTTGGATTGTTATCAAATTTGGTAGGAACAAAAATCCAAAATTAATTTATTATAAATGGTATAATGGGGGAACATTTTTTGCAAAAAGTTGCTCATTAACATCCGAATCGCAACGACATTTTGCACCATCCACTGCAAGCAGCTTAAAGATTAACGACTACCGTATTGGTGCGGTCATTATCAACTGATTTTTTTATGTTCAAGTTATTTCTTCATTTTTACACTGCAAATGGGCATGACTAACAACACATAGTATAATATGTTGTCTGTGGTAATAAGTAGGGCACAATAATCACATACTAATACATTGCATTTTACATTAACGAAAAATGAAATGAAAAAAAGCTTCCCAAGTATCACATTTTTTCAATCCTGTAAAATATAAGCATTGGAATCCATTTTAGAATAAGAATTTTTTTTCTTACTCAAAATCGGGCAGAGCCGGTTGCATTTACTGGTAGTTCTCGCGAGGTGCACCCATACAAAACAATACAAAAATTTAATTGCGTAAAACTCAGAAATAGACGTGGTAAACAAACATACTTTAGAAGTAGGTACGTAAAGTTGTGATATGTGTTCGTAAATACCAAGCATAACCCAATTTAAAGTAAATACTTCGAACTTTTCGTATTCTTTTACGTGAACGGAAATTTAAGCCCAATACATCTTTATGTCTTCCTTTGTAAGGGTGGGTGTTGGAGCTTCGTTTTAAAGATAAGCGTTTATCATGTTAGAATTTAGTGCAAACGATTAAAAGAAAAATTGTACAATGTGCGCCTACTGCACGAACTTATATAAAATAAGATGGACTGCTAGTGCTGAATTGTCAAATGACACCTACATGGGGGCAGCCATGATGTGCACTCACTTGGTGCGAAATTCAAATCAACTTATAA